GTCTGTTGATTCTTCAAAATGTCGACTGTCAGGCATTTCCAGTTAGGTGACGAAGGCCTTCTTCCGAAGGCCGAAGAGCGTGACATTCAGTAGCGTTCATGTTTTCCTGGAGCATCCACTATGCTGCACAACCTCTTTCATGGCGTTCGTAGGAAGTGCAAGCTACCGTTAACCATTATAAAAAAAAATAGCTTCGGGAAGACCGATATTTTTGGGCGAGGTTTCCATCTCGTTGTAATGTTCTATGGCAGGTACGTATTGATGATTCCATTTGGCTGTATCTAATAAGGACCACAAACTGTCGAAGGAGAGTTGCCGGCTTCGATTCCATTTTACCTTCTGCCATCTGTCATCGGGATACAATACTCAGTGCAGCATAATTATACACAAAACTTCGTCCAGACGCTTTCTAGTCTAAGCTCGTTTTGACTGCCACGGCTGGTAAGTGGGACACCACGCAATTGCCCTGCGCGCCTATTAATCGCTTTGCTCTGCAAATCTTCCTTCCATCCTTTTTATTTCCCCTGTTTGAGTATTCTCATGTGCTCCGAGATGGCGCCAGATGTTTCAACGACGCAAGGCAAGTGCTCTGAATCCTCTGCCGCTCGTCTAGCCAAGGTCTTCACTCTTAGAAGCACGAGCAAGTAGTTTCAATGAGTATTATTTTATAGCAATGCGAAGTGAATAATAGGCAGCGGTCGACAAAATAATACGTAACTACACTATCACGTCAAGTATTGTGCTAAAAGTTCTGTTACAATTTCCCGTAAGTTAGCTATAATATCTAAACAGATAGAAAACGAGTGAACATTTATCACTAAAAAGATTTACATAGAGCACCTTCGTCTGCCAGCAGGGTATAGCATTCATGCGTTGGCACATGGAAGAGTTTTCTGAATACATGGGTGCGTGTAAGCCATCTATGCGAACTTTAACTTCGTAGTTATTGCGACAGGAGATAAACGGAGGTATCCCGCAGCGTCCTGCTAAGCTTCGATGCAGAGAACCGTCGCCAGCAACTAGGTATTGCAGCAAACTGCTTCTGCAAATATTTTAGCCTAATAGGAAAATAAACAATGAGCAATATGAGTAATGCCGGTCGATCGGCCCACTGAAGGCTGCCGTTATGACCAACTAGCTGGCACACGATGCCTGAACCCAAGGACAACTGAGTCGTTATCAGTTCCTTTCGACAATTTCTATCCTCTCAATATCGACCGCCCTCTATGTTTCGAGTTTTACGTACGAGTCTCAGCTACCACCACGCAACAAAGTCTTTCGGACGATTCGAAGAAGGATTCGAACCTAGATCACAATGTGCTCCTACAATCAGCGTGCATATACGTTACTCACTAGGCTATCACTGATCTAATAGAGTATCGAGTTCCCTAGCGTATGTTAGCAGGCAGGTTGATGTAGTGGTAAAAATGAGACGGTATTGGGTTGACAATATACCATCTGTAGACATTATTAAGGCATTTAGGTTAAAACGAACAAATGATTTGAACTAAGCACCATTTTGCATTAACTTTCTTGTGTATAGCTAATTTGGAGATCTTTTGGGTTCAAAGAAGCGTTTGCCAAATAACTTCAAATAGTCCAGAAGATGAAATTAGCAAGTGAAAGGTGGCGAACTTACAAAATGAACATTCAGACTGTAAAAAATTCTATTTATTGACACGTGCCTGAATTAGGGTACATAACCTCCCTTCGAGAACCTTAACGTAGAAGTAGTTAACGTTAGAGGAAAAAGTACTAATATTAAAACCCGTCCTGCGTATTGCGTTGTCTTTGGATGTCAAAGTCAGAACATGATAGACAGTGCGAGCCTGTTCCAGGACAGAGATGGGCGTCTGATCATCCGCATCCATTGTTTATTCACGTACATATCTAGGCAGAACATTGACATTATTCTGAATTGCAAAGTCAGAAATTTTGCCACTGGCATCTGCTATCTATGAATCAAAAATAAGGAGCAGATTTACTCAAAATTGAATGATCTGTGCCTTCGGCGTAAACGCCTTCGTTTACTCACTTTTAATAGCGTAAGCTAGAAAAACCCTTGCAGGACATTCTACGAAGTATGTATCCATTGAACTTTATTGTTCTTCATACGATCAGAACTCATATGAGGAAAAGCGTAATTGCACTACCTAAACGTGTGTTTCATGGCGATCAGCTTTTGCAGGCATATTAGCCCGTCTCCCAGAATATTTCTCTTTGATCGAATATATACTTCCAGCCTTGACCAGCCTCTTTCATTTTTCCAATGCAGATCTGAAGAACATTTCCCGCTTGATGACCGTACGCCGCTGTTGACTACGAATGCGTTATTATTTTTTTATTGAGTTTGGCGCTCGCTGAACGACCAGCTATACATAGATTTGTATATACTCCATCCAAGAACGTTATCAACAAATATAAGTGCTATGTCTTACATACGGCCGAGTGCGTTAGATATGGAGGAAATCGGGTTGAAATTAAAACAGGCGAATAGCATAGACTGAAATCTGTCAGCGTTAGCTCTGACTTCCTCGAGGGCATGACCCTTGATGTCGCTGGCACGACTTGTTGGCAGGAAAATACTTCATCTAGGTTGAGATGTGGAAGGCATAATATGATAATGGATCTTTAGCTTTCAATATTCATGCCTATTCCCTACCGTGAAACAGATATAGCCATCAAACGAGTAAGTAAATTAATTACTTTACTACACAAGTCAAAAGCTAGAACGAGTTGTCTTTGCTTTACCTCGATACTATGAAGAGCCCCCGGATATTTTGGTGGGTAACGTTCTTGCCTGCTAACCTGAGGGAAATGTTGTAGTCTAGGTTTGAGGTTCGTTTCGTGCCGGAAACGAGTGGTCTGGTAGAAGGGCTAACGAACTCGGCGGATTATAATGAAATCGTTTTAACCCTAGCAGTCGCCAACGTGATTACCGATAAACCTATAAAAATATGGTTTTCAATATAGTTTTAAAATATACAAAATATGTACTAGAAAATCCGCCAACTAGGTACGTGAGCAAATGAATCCAAAAACATTTTTCTTCCGAAGTAGTTAGAAGTAGGGGTGAATTGGACTATTAGAGTTTTTTTTATTTCGTGAATCTGCGACAATTATTGAATTACGGTTGCTTTTCAATACAGCTGTGTCTGTATTTGATAGCTTTTTCTATAACTTTCCTATAGCAATAGTGAAAATCAATGCAAACTAGTAGACCCAGCTTCGGAAGGCATTAATTGTACAAAGTACTCGTATATATGTTGCTGACATCAATCAATGAACCTGCTTCCAAGTGAACTAGTCATACACGTTAGTAGTCTGCGTTTCTGTTTGTTCCAGATAAAAAGTATTCATAGGCCAACGATCGTTCACTATTATGTATAGGTTACTATTGCAGTAGGACCTAACATCACTGAAACTAATGTAATCCCAGAAAGAAAGGAGTCGTTTTTGGATCGTCAAACTTGTCTCTGATGGCTTGCATTACTTATTGGGCCTACCTCTGTAATTCGTGCCGGAAGAAAGGCTATCAAAGATACAGCTCAAACATGGACACTACATTGTTGGCAAGGGAGCTCAGTGCGAAGTTGTTCAGGCCTTTCACTACGATGATGCGCGACAATTCGTTAAGTGCATACACTGTTAATGAGCTGAGAATTCTCGTAAATGAAGGAACGTTGGAACGCGTCGAGGTGCGACAAGTACAGCCAGAATGTGTCTCGCCCATTCTTACTTCAGTGCAAAGACTGCTGACCCGTTTGCCCCAACACTGCCGCCATCGTAATGATTTCCGATGAGCACTTTACGAGAGGGTCGACGCAAACCCCCCAATTTCAGCCGCTTAATTCGCTAGTGAACAAATGTATCAATACAATACATAACATCATCTATACGCAGTTAGATCTTTATGTTCAACTATTTGCTTTGCAGTGAGAGACTGCCGCGAAGATCATTTGATTGCCTTTTGCATAAAAGGTACTTTCAGGGTGGGTACCCTTGCTAATGCTCAGTCATAGAGCGTTGCGGTATTCGCACAGAAAAATGTATCGGCATAACTTGTTTTATGTGACCGCTTAAGTTTTATTAGGTTTTTGCCAACTTTTGCTCACAGTACTTGTCGTTCGTTACCGTATCGCGGATCTGATGGCAACACCTATAAATGAATGTTGGAGTCTGATTGAATTTGTGGAAAGGCTACAACAGACGAAAGACCATCTGGGTGTAGCCTTTATCGAGCAGCGACAAGTGAGGAACTCCCTTAAAAAAATTAGATGATCCTAGTGGTTACTGTGTATTTGTAGCGCGTATTTCACTTAACAAAATTTACACTTATCCGTTCGAGTACGTTCAACGACACAAGCGGCACTTGTGGTTTAGTGCACGATAGGAAAAAGGCATTGGTTTTGCAATTAGCATTACGTTTCAAGGCAAAGGCGGGAAGGTCGACTTCGTGCATCACCCAACGGCTGTTCACCCCCAATTGGTTGAAGTCGCCTTTGAGTTTATGCGAACTGCGGAACCTAGTCTAAAACAAAAACAAGAAGACAATCTGCTAGCTGTCAACGGGCAGGGCACGGCTCGTAAACGGCAGTGTTACTTTGGACAAACGCCTTATGAAAAACCTGATGCTTCGAACAATGACCGCTAGGCTATGTTAACAGCTAAGAATAAATCGAATATATTCATTTGCCTCAAAATGAAGCGCTAGAAAATACGTATCGTTCACAAGAATATATCTGTAATGAATGAATGAATGAGTCGTATCGCTTTTGTGTGTACGGTTGACCATTCATCAGTATCAATTGCCTACAAACGTTAAACTGGACCTCTGGTAGCAAACGAAGAATTTGCAAGTCCCCGCCATAGTCAGTTTCAGTCATCTATTTAACAGCTGTTGATAAAATGAATCTTTCTATCTCTGCACTGCCAGTCTATATAGGTCAGCGTTATAACGTCAATCAATTGAGCTAACCTCGTTCTCTTTCTGTTTTCAGAGCATGCGGCGGCGTCCTCACCGCTGGGCTCCCTGGGCATTAGCATTGGTTTTGTCCTCGGCACTAGAGATCACCCTCAGTGAAGAATCAACGCTGTCAGAGAGCAGCATAATTAGCGAGAAATCACCACCGGGAGACGTTCCAACGTCTACATCAAAGTCGTCACAGTTCAGCGGGAAGTGGTACGCAGGACCAAATGCTTCGCTGGCGTTCGAATTTCGCTCGTTGCATGCCAATGGCCTCTTGTTGTACGCCGACGACGCAATTGGGCACGGTTTTTTCGTTGAGGCGAAGCTCGTTGATGGAAGAGTGACGCTTCGGTATAGATTGCCGACAGGCAGCAGCACCGGGAGTGGCGACCGCAGCTTAACGAGCCAGCAGAAGCGGGGAAGTCAACAAGGAATCACCTCATCGGCAACAATAGCCAGCCGAATCACGTTCGGTAGGTTTGCTACACTGATGAGTCACAGATGTTGCAGACATGTCTCGAACCTTGAAGTAAATCGTATACTTCACCTACACAGAGCGGAAATTCGGCAGTTAGAAAAGACTAACGACAAGCTGGACACTTCGTACACGACATTCTGTCTTCCTTATATCCAAGCAGTATTCTTGCTTTCATTTCATTCAAACCTAATATCTTGAATTAATTCATAATCGAGCTTTTATTCCTTTACACCTCGGATTGAATTTTACAGCCGTGTGTAGTAAAGCCATTTACTTTAAGATATTGAAATCGCGATACTTATACGTGGAGAATAGGCAAACGAAAAGATGGGACCTCAAACAGTAGGGGGCCAATAAGCTTTTTTAGTTTTTTTTCAAGCTTATGGCTGATATTTAGCTTTTACTTATGGTGTATTGAATCGTAAGGTAATACCACCAAGGAAATCATTAGAGAAAAGACCTACGGCACAGCTGGGCCCACTTGAGTACCCTTACATTGTGAAGCGTCAGTCCCGATATGAAGTGCTTCATGCCATATTTTTCTTCAATCGGTTGTAGTCTGCGAGTTTAGCTAAACGTATCTGGGTTCGAATAGATTTATGAAACGATAGGGTGACAATATGCCATGGTGACCATTTACTGACGCTGAGATCTAAACAAGCGATGGCTGTATGTCTATGGTTACGTATTCGAAGCGATGCGCACAAGCTGCTAGCGATGGATAACAGGGAGTCCTATTGGAACCCTACCCAGGCAATTGTTTACAACGAACAATGTCTCTTGTTCAACGAAGAGTTCAGTATTTTCGTCACCGCCAGCTTTTCCTCGTTCGCCTCCCCTGTGAGCAAATTTTCTATTAGACGCCCTATTATTAACACGGCGCATAATGGTACAGTGTCCAGTTAATGTTGTCCTTTCCCGAAGCGCTCTCCCACTAAATCGTCACGTATTTGTGCTCGTAGAGGACGCCATCAATTGTGTCGGCAAAACAAACCGTAGTCGAAATTATACAACGGTTAACTGTTATATTTGTTCCTTCAGGACGAAACGTTTCTGACGGCTTGTGGCATCGACTTGAGATGTTCCGCTCAGGTACAGAATTTACACATTGGCGATTAGATGAAGAACTGCGATCTGATGTCAGCACAGCATCCTACATAGTATCGAGTTCAACTCCGGACGCCGATGAAGCAGACGATTCCATGATGTCAGCCGACCTGTTCATGTATTTCGGCGGTCTGTCCCACCCGTGAGTCTCGACCTAATTTATTCGCACATCTGTATAGCCTTAGCATGGTAGGCCGGAACAAATACTGTGTACGTCACTGTCAAACGTACCCATGAATATTTATATTTACTATTTTTTTGGACAACCGCGAGCCGTATTAATTGAAGTTTTCCAGTCATCAGTTTGTTGACTACAGGGGCAAAGGTAGACTTCTGTCAGCATAATAATGCAATATTTTCATATTGAAGCATGGCGAATGCTTCAATTCTAGTAGCTGTTTATAGACCGTTTTGGAGTTAGGCAAATAAGAGAATACCGTTAAACACGATCCGTGTCGTTCAAGCTCAGATCGATAATTGCATGAAAATTCTTCCGTGCTTGATGTTAGATAATAACTTCGATGTAATATAGTGAAATGTTCAGCGTAATATAGTGAAGTTACAAATTTTTGGGAGGTCACAGATAGTCATTGGTGAGGCTGCTGAATGTTGAGCTCCCGCTAGAACTATATTCGATACGAAATGCCTGCAGGATGTTGCACGTTTCTAGAGTCTATATGATGACGTTATGTATGTATCTGTAATTTTTTACGGAGCGATCGTTTCCGTTCTTCTCTGTTGTACGGCGTTCCGTGGCGAATCGTAAAAAAGAGTGGACTACAGAACTATAATTTTCAGTTGTAGAACATTAAAGAAACGCATTAGTACTATTGCTCCATTTGATGACGCCATCTTGAGTTCGAATGAATGGGGCGAGGAGAGCTGAAGTCGACCACGCGCTATCACCAGAAAGCACATTTACGTCGTTTCTTCCTTTGGAAATTTAACTTGATCTATTGATCTTCTTCTTTGTGGACAACAACTGTCTTAGGCGAACGTGCATCAGTGCGGAGTATAATACGTAAAAGGATCAAGCTCGAATACGCATGATCCGCATTCTACTCTAGGCAGGCGGATTAACATTAATCTTCGATAAGTTCACAGTGACGTGTAATACTATGTGGTAAAAGTTAGAAATACGAACGAATTGGTCGCAACATAGTATGACATTAGCTGTAAGTTAACTAGCTTAATTTGAATGAAATGTACCTATAGATATTATATGTCAAGTCGGTCGACTCGTGAGGTTTGCACCAAGGACTTATCCGCTTTCATTAACTATCGACACCTCAAGGTTTAAGTACGTTTCAATTACATAAGCCACACTATACATAAACACTAGAAGTTACGTAAAACTATTCGATTACCTTTGCCGTAGAATCTAAAGCAAGAATTGTTAGAGTGTTTAACTTGAACTCAAATTCGTGTTTGTTACAGCTGTTGTCCTGCCGCATCGAACTAATCCCGTTGATTTGTTACGGTTACCGTTTTTTACGATACACACGCGTCACCGGCGGCTGACTGAGTTAATTGTCAGACTGGCAAACTCACAGTCCTGATTCCCCTAAGAATCAAGACTTTCCTGGCGTTACACTTATTCTGATTGCATTGTTGCAATCACAGATCTCGTTTTATACTGTTTGGGTTAGGCTATTGTGCCTTTTGTGTATAATACGTTGAATTGTTATACTTTTTTGAGTAGATGACCTTAGTAGTTTTTTCAGTGTGCTTCGATCGTTCAGTTATCCCAGTTCAGCGCTGGCCATTTTGGGCCTGCTGGTACTGTGAAGTTTCAACTGTTCAAATAAAAAACAGGCTAAGTCTGTTTTAGCCATTTCGCTACCCTAACCCTGTGTCCGTCGTGTAGAAGTAGATTATCTGTTATACTTATCTTATATCTTATTATTACTTATCTGTTATAGCAATAACAGTTGACCAATGCCATAGTTAGCATTAAACTCGGTTATTAAACCAAAAAAAAAATATTAAACCGTTAATATTAAGGCTCTATAGATGAACGACGATGGAACATGATGGATGACAACAAAATATTTACCTAAGTGTATAGTGTTTCCGTATGTGTATAGTACCTAAATAGGGTATCTGTGGGCCTGAAACACCCTCTGAGATGAGCAAAAGAAGATGTAGTCACAAATGAAATGCAGAAGTGCTCAAGTCTGTCGCATTTATTTGAAACGTAAGCTTTTTCTCCATGAGAGCCCTTTAAGCATTGTGCTATCGCTATTTTAATTTAGCTTCATATCTTATATTGCAATATTTATTAGAGGACTAACAAAGTATCTATAAAGCTTATGGCGATGGTTCATGATAAACAACACATGAGCTGTTAATATCAACGTAGCGACGTGCATGACCATCTACATCTATCAGAACTCTGCTTTGTTCCTTCCAGATCAATAAACACATTTGCTCGTAAAAGCAGCAATGAGAAACCGTTGACAGCTAGAGACCTCCGATTAAATTCGTGGTCCGTTCCGACTGCGTTTTTCGAGCGACCGTTCATAGGCGAACTGCGCAATATCATCCTATCCGGGCCGCCTGAAGGACCGGCCTTGACCGAACTGCGACCGAGCCACGTGCGAGCGTCGGCCGCACTTGAACCATCGTCAACGTCACAGAACCAGGACGATACAGGATTTCATAGTAACGCCGGAGGCGCGCCAGCTATCTGTGAACGGAACACGTGCGGTCGGGGTTCAAAATGTATAGACACACCAGACGGGCCGATATGTCCCGATGGAAAGAATGTCCAAGACTGCAAAGATAACCTACATAATGATCGATTTTGCAATGACAGTTACAAACGTGAGCAGACGTTCGTTATACGTTTTAACGATTAGTTCACAGGTTCAAGGAAATGGCACCCGTTGACTTAAGCATACATTAGTTTCTTTGCTTTCTATTTCTAATGTAATGATCTGAAAAATACTTCTATAGATATATATATATATATATATATGTGTGTATGTGCAGTTAATCAGTGAACGGCATGTTTTCAACCATCTCTCTGTGCTTCAATGACCACGAGTAGCAGAGAAGGACAGCCCACCGTCGTCATCGGCTGCAGCCGCTGGAGAAAACGTCATTCAGCTGAACGGGGCCGCATCTTTCCTTCGTTTCAATCAACGCGAGCCGATCATCTCCTCAACGGAAAACATATCATTACAATTTCGAACTACAATGGCAGCCGCGTCCGGCACCGTTTTGAACGATGACCCATCAAACAGTAGCACAGGCAATGGTAAGTGCCTGCTCCTTAACCTCCTTGAGCGCTACAATTATGATGACGATTATTATAAGATATAAAAACATGCATATGTACGCGAATCGTTGGCTGGTCATCGGCTGATCGTAGACGCATCTGCTGCCACAAAGCTTTGGCTAATGGTACGCAAAGCTAATACGAACAGACTGATGGATACGAGCTGCGTTACAATACTATAGTTTAATGGAACGCTACAACCCTCTATTTACTGGGCAGCTTAGCCGACGGAAAAACACGGTGCGAAAGGTAAAATCATTGTAGCTATGAGATAGCCGCGACGTGGGTCGCTATTTCAATTCTAGTTTCGGAGACAAAGATAAGATCGAAATATATAGATCACAAGATAAAGGGAGCGCTAAAATAAAGGTAAGTCTATACCCGTTCACTCCCGCTTTTGTCTCGTGGTGAGGACTACGACCCTTAGAATCATGCAAATGTATTCCTGTCCAAGTATTTATCAAACAACAAACAAATTCTGATTTCATTACGGCACGAATGCCGTTACACTTCTCGTTTTATATGACCGTAAACTGTGTGGCACTCACAGTTTTACAAGATGGCGAACTTGTCAATTCGAAGCTGGTGTTCATTCGTACGACAACAAAAGATTATGTAGATGCCTATTAAATTGGTTAACGCTCGTGTGAGTCATCTCATCAGCTCGTTGAAATCTATTTAGTTTCAATAGGCTGTGACGCGATTTCGCCAAGCGATAGCGTTTTTTCGGCACGTATACGCCATATCTCCCACTGGCCTCATTAATGAGACTGCGAACTAAAATGGTCCGCTCGATAGTTGTCAATATAAATACGCAGATGGAGCCGTCATGTAGGTCGTACTTAAATCATAACTCAAAATTGCTATTAATATTACGATTTTGTATTTGCCAGAGCATTTATAGGTATAATTGCACCGTAGCTTTAGCGCATAAATAAATTCATTAATCACAGAGGAACCGAACTATGAAAAAATCCGAAAAATTTTTATTTCGTTAAGAGGAAATATACCAGTCCGGCTAGGATTCATAATACACTTAGTTCTCTCTCCCTGGTATTGGCAGCTATCCCAATCGTAAGCTTTGTGTAGTTTGTCGCCAGTCAAGCGGCCATTTACAGATTGGCGCCCGATTTAAAACCCCTTACTCGTAGTGACTGTTCTTCAAACGCGTACTGCAGAGGAATTGTATTACGTAGACTGGCTTTGTTAGCGCTATGCAAAAGATCATAAATCCTATTCTAACAGAGAATAAAGCAACCTATGTACGGAACCGGATCTACATAATTGCTGAATTAAGATACGGACACTCTTCTTACCGTAATTAGATGTAAATGATTCATCACCGATCGTTGCCCTGTCAAATATTTGTAGGGGGTCGATTAACAAATATCCCGAATGTATCGTTACGTTGCCTTCACGAGGCTACCGGCCCGAGCATTTTTTTCTCATGTGCCCCTCAGATTCGTCAAAACGCTAAAGGGTAACAACTTTGGCCCTACGTAGTACAATATATAAACACACGTTACAGAATACTTGTCCTCTGCAGAAGGCCTCTAATGTTGGTGGGCATAATAACGGCCAGGCCCTACGATAACCAAGCAGCCTAGAGTGTTCTCGTGCTCGCTTCAGAAAGACCCTTGCTTTATTCCCAGTAACCTATAATTAATAACGATATATCAAAGCACTTATGCACAAAATCGTAGAGCCATGTTGGGTGCATATGTTGTAACACAAATCAACGGTTATTTCGTTTGAATAGGTGAAGTTAATTTCTAAGACATCGAGGGCTAATTGGAATTGTCTCTGATACCGTGAACATCTAGGCTTGGCTTTTAGAATAATAAGTCAGGGTAAAAAAAAATAGGCTCCTTGGCATGTCCAGGACTCCATCCATATATGACTGCACCTTCAAACCCAGCTCGCCGAAATGACCAATAGCGTATGATAAAACAATACTTGTACTTCCTGTTATAGTTCAATGCATCATTGTGCCGCCTTATTAAAATCAGCCTAATTAAATATGGAGAATTCTATGGAAATTATACTAATTCCTAGATGTTCCTCTTGCTGTACGTTTTTTTTTTGCCAATTACCTGAGCCCAACTCTTCGACCGCTATTCACCAACATCTTCTTTTTCTATTAGTGTGCCGATATCTCTATTAATCTGAAAGCTAGCCAATGCCCACTGTCACTAGATTTCTACTTCTACGTTGTGGTCGTTGCATTTGCTTTACTACGGACATCTTTCAACTTTGTTTACATTATCTCGTTTGTCACAAGTCAACACCCATCTGGAAATTCGTTGAACTTTCATCCTTTTTCTGACGCTCTCTGCGTTTTCTTCCAAGTTGGTTTACCTTCTTAAGTGGCTACTCAGCGTTATCCATACATTTCAGCACTCCGTATTGATCTCTCGATAAAAAGTTCAATAGCATAACTATCATAGATACCAGCATCATTACCACCTTATGATGACGCTCCGTTATCAGAAAAAGTAACAACAAGTTTCTGAACGCAACTGTTATATTCCTGGCGAATAGACATTTACAATGCCTTCATGTAGACATCGCTTAGTCGAATCTATAGTCAAACCTATCCTATGTTAATTGTCTTGGCAATCTACTCATATATGGTCCAGAAGGGACACGTTATCACAAGTGATCTGTCTGACCCAGAAACACACCTCATTCCTTTCCGATCTTCTCAGTACGTCCACAACGAACCCCATTGCCTCACACCAGTGTCGGTCACTCTCGGTGACCATTCATCGGTGCCTTTTCCGGTTACCGATACGTGGCTTAGGGCTCTATCTGTGCAGAAAGATGTCATTAATCACATATGATGGTTACTTAATTAATTAGCTTGCCGGCGCCAAACACGGCGGAAGTAGTCACCAATCGTGTGAGCATCGTTTAGAGCGACAGAATGAACACGCATGAAAAAATCCGAACGAGAAGAAGCAATAGTAGGGTAACAAGAACGGGTAAATGTGCAAGGGGTAAGATAGTTTAAGCAAAATAGCCACATAGATGGTCACATAAGGCGAGAGGTGGGCCATGCGCTACTGCGTATAAGGCAGTAAAAAAGCAACGGGCCGCGTAGAGCCTTGCTGTAATCAGTGAGGCTTTTTTAGAGACGACGAGGGGCGGGGGGCGATGGTGTCTTTGTGAAGGATGCTTTCTAGGCGAAGGGAGCTTGAAGGCGAAAACTCAGGAGCCGAGAAAGGGAATGACAAAGAGCGAGAAAGTTAGGAAGTTAAGAGAGTGGAGTGGTGTGGTAGACTTTAGGACTAGCTTGCTTGTCGCGGCTTGAACAGAGGGAACTAGGGTGGTTTGGCCGTTTGTGGGCTAAGGAACATCAATCAATAATCAATAGCTGATTATGCCTTCCCCCAGACGCCAAAGGCGCGGAGGACCTGAAACAGGCACCAGCCGCAGATGCAGCGATGCTCGACAGCTGCCGCCATTGCCTCCGCAACTGCCATCCACGTTGTCGGCGTCGGTCCCGCTACTATCGCCGCCAATTCCGTGCCGGCGGTGTCTAGGACGAAGGCTACCGTCACCCCAGGCCACTGCCGCGGCTCGCTCCTCGCGATCGGGTAAGTCGAAGCTGAACAGAGCCGTTTGTCCGCTGCTGCTGAGCCAGCCGTCACCATTGGCTGGCTCCAATAGGGCTCTCGTCGAACAGCGCAGTTAGGAATCAGGTCGATTTATATATCAATCCGTGCGTTCGACTGGTCACGACGTCAACGGCAAAAAGGACAACAGCAATAGCGATGATGGAGGACGATGATGTGGATGAAGAGCAAAACGATCCCGTTGCGATTGGTCCCCAGCAAAAGTTTCTCATCGTGCGGAGATCGGTCGTTCGTTTCTTACATGAATCGGCGGCGTCAGTCGATGCCTTCTTTGACTGATTGCTTTTACCGCATTCTGACGCTTTACCGCCTGACGGTTGAGTGTGAATCAATTGTGTATATATCACCTACTAGTGGGAGTGTCTAGTGGAAGACACTATGACTTTTGGATGCGGCCGAGGGTTGACGATTTGTCCGAAGACGTCAGACACCGACTTGATCTACTTCGCCTGTTTACTGAAATACGTCAAGCTTACTTACGAGAATGTCTGCAAGCAAAAAAATCTACCCAGTAGCAGAAGATGAGTGGTTCTGAGATACGGATCGGAATAACTGTCCCCGTTCGTAGAACAGTTATCATGAGTTGTGATGATCCAGATATTAGGCGCTCATTAAATAGTTTATCGTTGTTGGTGCTTAACCATCGTACCATTACGACAATTAAGAATTCCTGTAAAATCTAGTTCAGTGATTGGTTTTAGCTCGAATTTGTTCAGCTAAATCAATTCAATCTGCGCAAAGAGGGCTTAGGTGTACCTCAGCAAAAATTTAGATTTTTAGACAGTTGAATAGCAGTGTGAACCTCATGCTAGATATGCATTGACCTTCTGAGGGCCGCACACTCGGTCAGACTGAATCTCAACAGGAAGTAACACAATTATTCAAAGAGCTCGTAAACGATCGACGTACATAATGATATCCAAATAAAAGTAATACAAATGCAAATAAAAAAGGTCTTCGGCCGATAAATGAATGGATCTGAATAAATTCAACTGCTTAATAATATAAATTAATGTCACAAATAGGCCACGAGGTGTGTATATTTAGTGGTTCGGTTTAGGCAGAAAAGTGCACGTGTCACAAAAGTATCCGATAATGACGGAAAGGGGTCTACTGCTTATTTCATAAAAAGGATATATTCATCCAGAGATTAGAATGATCAACTGATTGATTACTTGCCACGCAAATCATTGTGGAGTGGAAAATACGAGACGCTCCGATTCCTTTTTCAGGTAACGCGAGCGGAGACCCTAGACTGATACCCTAAGGAACTAACCACTTCCAAACGAGCATTTTATTAACGCTATGGCGTGTTATGGTAAAATCGATAGATGAAACAAA